TTTTTATCCCACTCTGACACCAATTTGTTATGTCTCCATTTGTTAATTAACTTTCCATAACTTCGTTCCGACGAAACTTTAGCGACACAAGTCCTTAGTTAATAAAACTGGTTTATTCTTTCCGAATACAACTTTACGATACACTTATTTTCAACAATCGCGCTAAAACAAACGCTATATCAACGAACGTCAATAATACTTCTGACTGCAGTTCAATTACTCACTATCTACACACATATTATTCCTCGTCACGTTGTCACCCTCTTTTATATACCAGTCTACCCTATATATAGTAAATACTAGAGCATTCCCAAGGTACAGGATAGTTCTAGAAAATAGGTGGCGCCACACCAGTCACGTGACCTCGATGACGCAACAATATTGTAAAATCCATAGAACAACGTTTCATCACGTGCTTTCCTTATCATCCTATGATTTGTCAAATGGGAGATACAACAGTTGGAATAATTGGTACTGAAATTGACACTTTCGACTAGGATTGGCTAAACGTTTTACAACTGAGGTTTAACACGCCCAGACGCAGTTTTATAAAGAAAACAGACTAGGAAAAGGTTTAGATACCAATCATAGATGACAGTACCAGTGCTGAAGTGAAAGGAAATATCTTTAAAAAAAATTTGAAAAAACATTTCTTCTTAGAGGGCTCTTTTAATGGATTTCTGATTTTATTTTTATAAATAGTAGCATAACATTCAATTAATTGTACAAAATTGTATTATTTAATGAAGTTTAAAAAGGCATTTAATGAAAAAATTCCTAAAATATGTTTTAGACTGTAAATAAGCTAAGTTCTCTATCATTTTTTCAATTCATAAATGCACACTTGCATTGCCTACTAAGAAAGTTAGTACCGGTAGTCATCGGGTTAAAAAGGTTTTAGAGAAATATATATAAGATGAATCTAGAGAATTAACTCTAAGGGCTTGTTATAAGGTAATTTACATGTTAACAATAAAGATAGTTTTGATATTTCATGTGCATAATGTCTAGAATCTCTGGGTCATTTAGATTTTAAGAGTAAGGCAAAAACTATTTGTTACAGAGGGTCAGTTTTGTGTAAATAAAGGATTGAATTACCAGCATACATGGTATCATTTAATTAAATTTTATCATAAATGTAACTTATCAAATTTAAAATTTTTATATTTTACTGTTATAATACGTAAAATTTCATAGGGAAATTTAGTACTTCATGATGGCTCTTGTACTTTTTCAAGTTTTTGCTTTCAAGGTTTTGATGAAACTTATGCTTACTGTTGTTAGTATTACGTATATTAATTTTATTCATTTCAAATATACAACTTAGAACACAAAATATGAATATGCCCAAAAAATACAATGTCCTAAAGCTATTATAAGTCAACTGGCTTTTTAACTAAGATATAAATGGTTAAAATAATTGTTAGCTGATCAAAATGATAAAAAACAAAACAATAAAACTGCGATGGAATATCTCACAAATATCATCAGAACAAGCTAGTCTTATAGAAAATTTAGCAAATTAAAATCATCTCTGTCAGTTGGTTATAAATATTCCAATAGCAATTACAGAGAGAATTATAGACTTTTTTTTTAAGACAGGGTGAGATAGGAGAGCCTGTCATATGGGTTTGACTTTCTTGTTTATATCTCCGTAAAACGTGAAGAGGCTATAAAGTTTGCCTTGCGGCTTAACAATATCTAGTATAATTGTGTAATTTATGAAAAATTCAGAAGATCATGTAGGAGTAGAAAGAAAGTCTGAAATGAGCAATTCAGAGAGTATCAGTATCACATGACACAGATAAATGAAGGCTGAGAATTTACTGAATTCAGAGTATCAGTATTACATGACAGAGAAACGAAGAATTGGAATTTACTGAATTCAGAAAGTAGCAGTATCATATGATACAAATGAAGACTGAGAATTTACTGAATTCAGAGAGTAGCAGTATCATATGACACAAATGAAGACTGAGAATTTACTGAATTCAGAGAGTATCAGTATCACATGACACAGAGAAATGAAACTGGGAGTTTATTGAAATATTTCATTCTGAAATTAAGAAGTTATAACATATCATAATTTAAATTATAAACTGTTTGATGCCAGTTTTTTTATAATAGCTGTTTAATTATTTATAAATATTGAATTTTCCAGTTTTGAAAGTTAAAAAACAGTGTAATTGTTTTGTGTTCACACTGAAAACCTTCTAAAATTTACATTGTTGCTGTGGTTATTTTTAGTGACCTTGATGACACTACTGAAACTGAAGGAGAAATTGTATCTGATGAAACAAATGACAGGAAAACCCTTAATGGGGTACCTGCTTCTCGTCAAGGTTCTTATTATTCTTTTATATTAATGTATAAATAACTGTTCAAGAAATACAGAATATGTAAATATATGTACAGGAAACAACTGGTTTCTACTAATTTGAAACATATGATTAGTTTTCATGTGTGAAAAATAATTTAAGAGTTTTCATTGTAAAGTTAATTTTGATTAATGATTAGTTGTAATATATTGTGGATAAAAATGCACGAGTATTTGGTTTAAGTTTTAAAAAATCAAGGTTAAGATTAAAGTAACTTAAGTTAGAATGTGACATAGCATCCAATCTGAATATTTTACCTAGATGTTCAGTTTCAGCCATCTTAACTTATTTTACATATAAACCATATTTTATGAATAATAATACAGAATGTTTTTATTGTTAATTATTTTTCTAGAGAGAAGATCAAGTAAAATGTGTTTGTTTAACTTCAGCAAGGTGAAGAAAACTAGACGTTGGTTGAAGGTAAATATTTACTTTCTGGTTAATTCATTTATTACTTCACAAATTTGGAAGATTTTATTTTTAGCTTTTGTCTATTCTTTTATAACATATTCTTTCTTTTATATGTTTACCATAATTTAATTTGCTTTCACTAATAACTTGGAATTTTTTTCTAGAGTATTCTTTTAAGTGATTCCTCTGAGTCAGAAGAGGACCATGATTTAACTCATACAGAGGAGAATATTCAACATATGCTATATTTCCACAGATTGAAAAAAGCAGCCCGAACTGAATTTCTGTCAGACCCTGAGGTACACTATTTTTTAACTTGAATCTTGAATTTTAGTAAAAATACTAGAAAAACATTATTTTTCTAACTGTGTAGAAATTGTAATTATGTACAATCATTTTAAAAAGTTTGACATGCCTGCTGTGTTATGGTAGGGGCAGAAGATTCTGAAAATCTTAAAACGTCCAGTTGGGCATGTAACACAATTTTACATGGCTGATGTTTAAACTGGATAAAACAAAACAGAAAACAACCTTACATTAAACTCCTTTTCTCTTCTTCATGGTGATTCCAGTGATTTTCAAATTGCCTGTCCTATTATAACAACAGAAATATCTCTTCAGAAACATTTACTTGTAGTATCTTAGAAATGTTCTTTTACAATGTCATTTACCACTATAAGAAAAGGTCTTCTAGTTGAAATGGAGTGTTAACTTTTAGTATTAACTCTCCCAACATGGGGTCGGTCAATTTTACTGATTTACGTGACCTTTTGTACTCGTTTAAAGTTGATATAAATTTAATACTTATAACTCTCACTATATATTGGGTATATCTTCATCAAATTTGGTAATCTTTCAGTTAATATTACAAGTCTTTCACATACAAAAAGTCATATTTCTTTGTGAAGTATTTTTAATAAAATAAAGTTTTGTCCATGAATATATTGAGTATTTGTTTTGAATAGTCCATGTGCAAAGTAATTTTCATGTTAAAATTGAAAATAATTTTCGTTATTTCAAAAATCTCGTATGTCCTTTGTGTAATACTTAAAACCTCCTAAATGCATTTCAAACGTTTTTTTTTTCACTAAATCCTTATAGTTTATATATTATTTACTCTACCCTATCTCAAAACAGGATCAGTCAATTCGACCGACCTCGTAACCACCCAAAAAAAAAAAAATAAACCTAAATTAACCTTCTTTTCTGTCTAGAATGACTTCAAATTGTAACCTGAAACTACATTTGTTTATCTTAAATAGCTCTAAGTTCGTAACATTATACATCTATTTATAATTAAATTTTATTGTTTTATTGCCCTTTGAACCGTGTTTAACTGCTGTACCCGCCATTATAAGTTGTAAATCATTTGGGTAATGTGCAGCTCACGTTACTCTTATCGAATTACATTACCCATGAGCTGCTCGTGTGCATGCCTCGTGAACAATGTTAATTATGTTATTATTATTACTTAGTTTACCTAATCTAGTCTTAAATAGCTTTAAAAGATCTGTACTTGTAATTTGTTACTTTTATAATAATAAATAAAGAAGAAATAGGAAAAACAAGAAATAAAGTACTTACCCAATCTTCTTTTTTCTTGCCCTCGATTGTTGAAGGGAGAGTTAAGCCTGATTTTTTTTTTTAGTGATTATAGTAAAGCACTTAGCATTATTATTTGATTATATAATACACCAAAGAATATAGACTAATAACAGGCAAAAAGTAGACAAATTCACTTACTTCTAAAAAATTTTCTGCCTTTCTAACCATGCGACAAGAGCCTTTACAAATTTATCCAAGGTAGTTGTTAACTTTCACATGGGAACGATGTTGTTACTCCTGGTGAAATTGATGGTTATCTGTTCAGAACACAACATTATGCTGTATGCCATTTGATAAATAAAAACCTTGACTTTCTATTGGTTATAAGTAATATATAATGAAATGTAAAAGAGAACTATCAATGAATTGTGAAAGAGAGGATGCGACAAGTGGGTGTGGCGGGAGTTATTCAAATATAGACATAAAACCTAAAAAAATATTTTGTTTCATATCCTCCACGTGCAAACTTTTTAAAGGCTTAGCAACCTACATCAAGCAGCAACCAAGTACAAAGGTCGTAACTAGAAGAGATAATTGTTTGCTTTACTTCTTTAGTTAATATTCTATATTTCAAGAAAAATAAGTTAAAGAACTTATTTCAAAATAGCACTAATCTACATACATATATAATGTATAATAATTGAAATGTGACTGTATTTTACAAAAATACTAGTCTACTAAAATAAAACCAACACCAAAGGTCAGTTTATGTTATTTGATATTGTAACATGAGTACACTTGAGATGTGTCATTGCAACTTCTGTATTGTTAGCCAGGCATGGCTGAAAGCTCAGTATAATAAATATATATAAATGTATAATGTTATGAGATATAAGCTATTTAGTCTAAACATTTATGCTTTTGTGTTATAATTTGTGTTCATTCCAGAATGAAAGAGGCATAATTTATATTTATTTCCTAATTTTTTATGGTGGTTGCAAGATCGATCAAATCTACTGAACCTGTACAGGAATAAAGAAACGTTTGATAACTATCTGGACATTATAAAGATTTCACATGTGAAATTTTAACATTTTCTGATTCTTAAAAATATTTTTAATCTTAAAACGAATATTACTTTGCATGATAGATAGGCAACATGCGAAAAGAAAAACAAAAAAGAGAAAAACATTGCTTTACAAACCTTGAGACTTAATAAAAAAAATTTATATTTTGTATATGAAAGCATTGTAATGTTTACTGATAATCTGCCAAATTTCGTTAACATTCATTTACTAATTTAAAAGTTATAGCATGAAAACTATAACAAGCACAAATGGTTGAGGTCAGTCCCAGAGACCAAGCCCATGCTGAAAGAGTTAAGCAAATGCATACTTAATCAAGTAAAACACCTAGTATTTTGTTTATTGGCCAGAAATCTTAAATGTAAGTTGAACAACAACAAACTTAATATCAAATTGAGAAATAAAATTTTAGACTGTTATGATTATTTTACAAAGTTTAAAAATTATTATGAAATTAGTGAAAATAGAATTAGAAATTATATTCATTTAATGTAGTAGTAGTATTGTGTTAACAACACTGTTTAACTTCTCTATGCTAGTTGCTGTAATGTTTTACTATCTGATGATATGAGAAATTTTTTCAAGTTAACAGCATAACCAGATTTTTGATATTTGTTTCATGAAGGAAGATAATTTCATTATAGAAATCTAGAATTTTGGATTAATTAATGTTGACCATATAGGCCTAAAGTAATGTAAATAAAAGTTGAAATTTATAGTATAGAAGTTTTATTTGTTATGGCTTTACCTTACAAAGTTTGAAACCTAATAGGGAATAGATAATTATAAACATTCAGGGTAGACAGATAATATTAATTTTACTGTGTAGGCAGTCTCAACTGGAAGGTGTGGTGTAATGAATCTTTTCTTGTAATGGAACTTGTGTGGCTTTTGAATGTGTGCCTCTGGTGCCACCCATACTGAAGAACAGGTTCCACAAAAAGTAGCATACGAAACAGAGGGTGACGTACTAAAATATAGAAAATGCTGAAAGTTCTGTGGCTGCTGTGATAATCATATCTGAACTAGGACGCTGGAAGTTCTGTCACTGCTATAATAATCATAGACAGAACTTCCAGCATTCTGGTTCAGAAACTGCTGTAATAATCATATCTGAACCAGAATGCTGGAAGTTCTGTCACTGCTATAATAATCATATCTGAACCAGAATGCTGGAAGTTCTGTGGCTGCTGTAATAATCATATCTGAACCAGAATGCTGGAAGTTCTGTCACTGCTATAATAATCATATCTGGACCAGAATGCTGGAAGTTCTGTCACTGCTATAATAATCATATCTGAACCAGATTTTTTGAAGTATAGAAATGAGAACAGAATTTTGGCCATGCACTATGTCTACTCATGACCAATGTTGGCACTTGTTAGAATCTGCACATGTACTCAGCGGCTCTGTCTATAGTTACATTTTACTGAAAGTAGTAACTGCAACACTAAATATATATTGTTATTCCACGTGCAACATGCTGTTATACAACAAGATTTTCCAATACTTATTAACCCATTCATTTACAGAAGTAACAGCTTGTACCCCAATTATAGGTAGCTAGAAACCATGATTTCATTTAGTGCCAAAAATCATTTTGTTAATAGACTGTTATTCATGCAGAGTTCTGTATGTATCTGTTGATTTTAAAACATTTGATACTGCATCATTGTTTTTGATTACTTATATATCAAAACCATGTGTTACCATTCCCACTTTTTATCTCAGATTCGACAATACCAGTACTACAGTGTTGGACTATTGTCTAACCAAGACAAGTACCAGGAGCAACAGAATCTTGTCGTGGGTGGAAAGAAAAAACTAAAAGAGAAAAAAACAATAACAAAGAAAAAAGGTATAATAAACAAAGTGATAAAATTCACTTTAGCTACCATTCATATCAGAACATACTCAATTCGTGATTGTGTAGCAGGTTTCTGTGTTTGTGTTATTAAAGTCAGTAAGATGCAATAGTTTGAAATGTGTGTTTTTGACTATTTAGCCCATGACAGAGTTTTTTAGATGTAGCTGTAATATCACATTTGTTACATTAGTAAGACACAGTTTCAGTTATGTTACAGGAAGAAAATTTGCAATAGGTTATTGATAGTACAGTACACAAAAAAGTAAATTTTATGCTATATATTCATTACCAGAATCACTTATTGTTTGTTTATATTAGTTGTTAATTTTCTGTTATAGCTACTAAATTGAAGAAGAACAAGTCTGAAAAACTAGAGAAAAAAATGGATCATCAAGGTTACATTCTTCCAGTAAGTAGTCACAACTGTTATTTAATTCAGTAAAAGACGTGGAACTGTAAAGTAGTCACAACTGTTATTTAAATCAGTAAAAGACGTGGAACTGTAAAGTAGTCACAACTGTTATTTAATTCAGTAAAAGACACAGAACTGTAAAGTAGTCACAACTGTTATTTAATTCAGTAAAAGACACA